TTTGGAATAGTTTGTAAAATCATATTTTGCTAACAGGTCTGTTAGTTAGCAATACTAAACTGAAGGCCGGTGGATGAAAATACCTTCCTCCCTAGAAAGTCTAGGCATTTAGTGCCTTTGTCTGCAGAGGTTTCCTTGGGGGTGCTGTAGCCTGGATCTCTCTGTGGCTGCTTGCCATACTAGGGAGTTGGGTGCAGGGTGAGTAAACAGACTCTGACTTTTTATCTGGTACAAAGTATCATCACCTCTCAGCCCTCTTTGAAAATGGGGGGCACAGTTAGCAAGTGTTTGTCCTACTGTCCTGGCTGGTGCAACAATGACCTTATTTACTGGGAGGGCCACCTGGCTAGCACCAGAAGGCTGCAAGATGTCCAGGAGCCTCTGCTGCGTATCATGGACCTCCTTGAGTGGGATCTAGAGTTCAGTCAATGCCCTCTGCAAGAGTTCTTGGTATTGCCTGTGATCATCAGACAGGATGGGGCGATTGCCTCATTGGGTGAGGAGGATGACACGTCTATCGGAACTGTCGGCACTGGCAGATCCAGTTCTATTTCTTCCTCTGTGTGCTCTAATGGAGCCAGCTAGTGTCAGCTAGGAGGAGAGAGGGCTGGTTGGGATTCATGTATGGATACGTAGTGCCTAGCATAGGGATCCCCAGGCACTATATGTCTCCTGGATAGTCATAGCTGGGTAGAGGATGGGTCTATCATAGGATATGCAGTGCAATCCAGACCAGTGAGGGGTTGCCACCACCTTCCCTGTAACCCTGGGTGCCTTACAATGCTTTGCTGCTGTAGCTCCCAGCCTGAGACACTCAGAACCAGTTTACAAGCATGGAAGTCACTCCCTGTGTGCTTCAGCAGCTCTTACCCCAGCAGCTCTCCTGGACAGCTCAGAAATAATAAGGTTCATTGTTCCTTTAAAGCAACAAAAGCACATTACATCTGATTAACTTATATGGGGTAAATACACTCTTTTCTTCAAACACAGCATGTGGTTGGATGGAATTTACATAGCTTACTTTACACCAATTTACACCAAGCTCTTTGGGGGCAAGGACTCTCTCTTACAGGGCCTACTACACTGAGGCCCTCACTCCTGGATGGAGCTGCAGGGTGCCATTGTAATAGACACACAAGGCGGCTGGGGGGGGGGAGGGGCTGTCAGATGATGCAGAGTGAACTCAGGATACTGACCTGTATCAAAACTGCCAAAATGTATTTGCCACTTTTGAAAGTGGGTTTCTAGTTTTCTGAAGCTTTATTCTATGGACTTACCTACATTCCCAGCACTGAAATATTCAGCTGAGCCCCACAGGACTTCAGCACTTCATCAAAGAAGCTAATTTCAGCTAAGGGATCATCACAGGGAGGACTCAGAGCCTGAAGAAGGAGAAAATGTTTTCATATGATTTAGAGGGTTAAAAAACGCTGCAGTGAAAAACAATTTGCTAAAATCAAAAACTTGGCACAGCTCACAACAGATGTATGGAAAAGTGGATTTGCATCCTGCCAATCCTGGGGCTGTGAGGGGTGACACAGGCGCAACTACAGTGGTTCTGTGCTACTCGGTGCTGCTTTAATGGACTCTAAGATCTGACTATATCAGGACTGCAGAGGATATTGTGGTCATGGTATAAAAGCATACTGAAACATATACAAATAGTAACAACCACTAATTGATCATCTCAAAACGGTCACCAACACTCAAGCCTAAGTTTCCCGCAAACACGGTGGTGAAACAATGAAGAGGATGCAAAAACTACATGTATTTAATAAGGCTAATTTCCTCTTCTCCAGTTCTCGTCTTGATGGAGTCCATACAGTACCTAAGGGCAAGCAGAAGCTTGGAATAAAACATTATTTCAGTCAAACTTCCTATTTTATTTTTTAAAGGATAAGGCACAATCCTTAAAAGCTGCAAAGAACTAAAAAAACCTGCAGACCCAAGACTTTAGTGCACAGCCCACCTGAAAAGTGTGGTGGGGTGTACCAATCACACTGGGTCTGAAGGGGTTAACATGAGTCTATCGCTGCAATCAGCCTTACCCCACCTTCTCTGCGAGAGCCTGGAAAGGGGAAATAAGAGGAAGAGCCCAGCTCAGTGATGGCTGACTGGAAAAGGGAGCAGACCTCTTGAGCTAGCCCTGTCAGGGAAGCTTGGCTGTGAATATTCATGAGAGCCATCAGGCCCAACCACCATGTGAGTGGTAGACCTTGCTTATTTGACTTTCTTGGCATCCTAGACACAGGCTAGGACCCACATGGACTACTACCTGTCTTCCCACCTCTAGGTCTCCACAAGAATTGTGTGAGTATGTGCATGGGATGACATGGGGTGTCAAACTAATATTACACTGGAGCTACGTTCTCTTTTGAATTGGCAGATTTGTGCTTTTACTAACAGTGTTAATACAATTATTAAGAACTCTGCTTTGCCCTCAGTGTGAGAGTCACTGCTGTGCACATGGGGGTTCCCAAACAGACAGCAATCTTAATTCTGTTGTGCTTGATTCTGGGGCTGGAACCTGTCGAAGCTCAAGGGTCTAATTACTTTTATCAATTGGGGATTCTAAATCATAGACTCATAGAATATCAGGGTTGGAAGGGACCTCAGGAGGTCATCTAGTTCAACCCCCTGCTCAAAGTAGGACCAATCCCCAATTAAATCATCCCAGCCAGGGCTTTGTCAAGCCTGACCTTAAAAACCTCTAAGATTCCACCATCTCCCTAGGTAACCCATTCCAGTGCTTCACCACCCTCCTAGTGAAAAAGTTTTTCCTGATATCTAACCTAAACCTCCCCCACTGCAACTGGAGACCATTAGTCCTTGTTCTGTCATTTGGTACCACTGAGAACAGTCTAGACCCATCCTCTTTGGAACCCCCTTTCAGGTAGTTGAAAGCAGCTATCAAATCCCCCCTCATTCTTCTCTTCTGCAGACTAAACAATCCCAGTTCCCTCAGCCTCTCCTCATAAGTCATGTGCTCCAGCCCCCTAATCATTTTTGTTGCCCTCCACTGGACTCTTTCCAATTTTTCCACATCCTTCTTGTAGTGTGGGGCCCAAAACTGGACACAGTACTCCAGATGAGGCCTCACCAATGTCAAATACAGGGGAATTATAACGTCCCTCGGTCTGCTGGCAATGTCCCTACTTATACAGCCCAAAATGCCATTAGCCTTCTTGGCAACAAGGGCACACTGTCGACTCATATCCAGCTTCTTGTCCACTGTAACCCCTAGGTCCTTTTCTGCAGAACTGCTGCCTAGCCATTCGGTCCCTATTCTGTAGCAGTGCATGGGATTCTTCCGTCCTAAGTGCAGGACTCTGCACTTGTCCTTGTTGAACCTCATCAGATTTCTTTTGGCCCAATCCTCTAATTTGTCTAGGTCCCTCTGTATGCTATCCCTACCCTTCAACATATCTACCACTCCTCCCAGTTTAGTGTCATCTGCAAACTTGCTGAGAGTGCAGTCCACGCCATCCTCCAGATCATTAATGAAGATATTGAACAAAATC